CTCTCTCTATTCTCCTCGACAAACAAGCAGCTTAAAGTACCTAATGGAATCGATCCAACGAAAGTCTAATTCTCCTCTCTGTTAAACCGATTACCATCGAGAGGTTCGATCGGTTACAAGGAAGAGAGAGAGAGAGAGAGAGAGAAAAGAAGGATTCTTACCCCGTTCGGTACGATCAAGAGGAGGATATCGACGCTGGCGGTCGCTCGAGAGGACGTAGCTTCGTTCAAGTGTCGGAAGGACTTCCGGGACGGTCAACCGGAAAAGTACGCTCCCCGCGGTGAATTCGAGCAGGCTAGTCGACGGTGTCGAGGCGGTATCGACGACGATCCAGGATGCGGGATGCGCGTGGATGACGTTGGTCGGCGAATCGCTTCATCTTCTGGGGCTCTCCTGTGGCAGGAATTGGGCGTAGAAATTATTGGTGTTACCCGCGAGAAGCGGGCCGATGGTGATTCTGATTCCATCTCGCCCGCCTCTACTTTCCGGCCTAATTAGTCCGCCTCTATTAAGTTTATCTAGGGGCATCAAGGGTCGCTAACTTGCTCGGGGAACTAACGTCTAACGATGGAAAGTTGGGAGGAAGATAACTCTGGACTCTAAGTAAGCGAATGATTAAGCCGGAACAACCGGTATGGCTGGATCCCGAGCTTCCGTTCAATCTTTAGAGTTGAGTAACAATTACTACTTCCAAGGTTTCCAAGGATTCTCTACAATGGCATATCGTAAAGACTTTGACCGTCGCTTGGATCCTTTTCCAATTCTCCCTTTCCCCCAAGATATATATATATACGTGTGTATAAGTGAAGTGAAACGAGAGATAGAGTTTAATGGATACATAGGCGGACTAATAGGGATAGATATGGCTAGATTTCGATCGAGTGTATACATATTCGGTTATTACGTGGGGGAGGATTCGCGTTAACAGTGGTCCACGTTACAAGCGGAATCGGTAATAGATACGACCGGCAAATTTGTTTTTGCCTGCCTGGGGAGGGCCGATAATGGTCTTTGTTTCTAATTACCATGGACCATTAGATTTATCTACGCGCGTTAAAGTCGGCCACGTTTTCGTTCTTGCCGCCGGTTTCCAACGAACCATTTCAACGGTTTACCCGTTGTGTTCCCGCGCAATTATCGGGAGGGGTCCGCGTTCGCGTATTAATACGCGATTACACTCGGGCGGCGATTAAAAAATAATTGCCGCTCGCGTTCGCCAACGTGCTCGCGGCCACCAAATGAAAATGGGAAATTTAATTTTTATCTCGCGTTCGCTACGAAGGACGCTCGTTACAATTTGTTCCCGTAATTGATTTCGATCGTCACACAGAATGGCCGAGGCGTGAAACGTGCCTTTATCCACCATTAACAAATTTCCCCGGCAAAGTCTCTCTCTTTCTATCCCCCCCCCCCTCCCCCTCTCTCCGCGCCGACCAATTTTAATTGTCGCCGATCTCTTTGCCCGTTATTTAAACGTTATTTATTCTTCCCTTATTCTCTTGAGCGAAAGTTCCGCGATTAACGAGTCTCTCCGCGAGAAACATCTTGCTCTGCAAGATGATACGCGCGCTTATCTCGCGATTCGAAAGTATGTTGCCTCTACGCTCGAGGGGGGAGGGAGAATCGCTTTTGAAACGGTTGGCCGCGTCGAATAGTTTGCAAGTCCATTATGGAGGACGCCAAGTCCTTGCACACGTAATGTCCTCTCTCTCCACGTAAATCTCGATCACGAACTTTCGATATTTTGCGTATCCGGCGCATTGGTTTACTAGAAAAGCTTCGTTCGCGAAGCCATCCCCGCGATTATCCTTATCATCTCGTTCATCCCGTGCATTTTCGATTCTCTTTTATCTTACAAGCGAAATACAATTTCCGGGCTAAGTGAGTTCCGCTACGATTTTAACGGATTAAATTATTCTGATTGAATAAATGCGCAAAGTAAACCTTTTCGAGCTCATTTTTAAACATGGAGAAAATTTAACAGCGATTTCTTTGGACGGACGATCGTTGCAAATCTCTCTCTCTCTCTCTTTCTCGTTCTCCCTATTTTTCTTTATTTCCTTTCATTTCCTCTCTCCTTCCCTTTTTTCGCGAAGCGTTCGAGCTCGCCGCGTTTCGAGAGCTCGCGTTCTTTTTTTCTTCTTTCTTTTTTTTTTCTTTTTTTTCGTACCAGCTTTTTCCCTCGATGTAAAGGTTGCCGCGAGTTAGCAAAGAGCTCTGGCGGAGATATCGCGGAGCTCATATCCCTGGGCACTCTTTTCGCTGCGTTTCTCCTCCCCTCTCCCCCTTTTTCGCAGGCGTTTCCTTCTCGCAAAACGACCATTCCTCTGCGCGCGCTCTCTCTTCTCTCTCTCTCTCTCTCTCTCTCTCCCTTTCTCTTTTTCTATTACTCGCGCTATCTAAGGACTCGAGGGAAACTTGGCTGCATATTACATTGGCTCCCGCGTTTATTAATCCACGAATTACTTTTTCGAAGTTGCAGAAACGAATAATCGATGATATGGAGGAGAGGGGAAAGAAAAAAAAAAAAAAGAAAAAAATAATCGGATCGAAACGTTGGAGGATCGGTATAATCCCGCTTTAACTCGTTCTCGTGGTACACAGCGGAATTAGCGATCGATTAGCGTGGATTGAAAAAAAAAAAAAAAAAAAAAAAGAAAAAAAATACAATACGATATCTATATTTCGTGCGCGCCCTTTTGATATAGTAATTAATTTTTGGGACTGGAAAGGGAGGGGGATCCGAGAGAGATTGTGCAAAATTGGAAATTGCACCCTTTTCCAACCATCGAAATTTCATCATTTCCGCGCGCCAAGTTGAATATTTGACGTGGTAGAGCCGAATTTATTAATAATTTTACTTAAATTATTATCGATCGTCGAATTCAATTCATATTTCGCCCCTCTTTTAATTCGTCGAGTATGCACTCGGTTTGGTTCTCTTTTGCGCGTGTCGAGAGGCAGTTTTTAGCAAAATAAAATAAAATCGATTTCCCTAGACGATATATCACACGTGTTCGTATTAGCTTTCGTGTTATTATATATATCGTTAAATATAAAAAAAATATCCGTGATATCCACCGGTGGATCCAATTCCAAAAGATGTATTTCGGTATTAATTCTCCCTATAATTATAACGATATCGACGCGTTTTTCAAAAAGTGAAGCGGAGGCTGAACCGAACGAAGAAAGAAACTAAAAAAAAAAAAACGACGAGGAAACGGATACGAAATGCAGATATATAATTCAAGATTTCTCAGCGAAATGAAAGGAGGCGTGAACAATGGGCGAGTAAATCCGGAACGTGTATAAACATCGTAAACGTGACATCCTTTAGAACCCAAGTACCGATAGTCTTGCATAATTTCTCTAAATACCAGTGAACAACCGAGGACGCGGCGTTACGAACTTACCTCTGTGAATCGACGGCGTGGCCAGATGCTCGTTCCAGTCTCGAAACGAGGCAACGACGAACTGGGGAAGGAGGAGGAGGGGGAGGAGGGGGATTGGAAAGACGAAGGAAACGAAGCGGGAAGGTGGGAAACGTCGGAGCGGCGAGGCGAGACGAAGAAGAAGAGGAAGAGGAAGAGGAAGAAGAAGAGGAAGAAGAAGAAGAAGAAGAAGAAGAAGAAGAAGAAGGTGGCGGAAGCTCGAGGAGACGTTTGGTCGGGTCTTGGTCGGGGAATGGAGACGTCGCGCGGAAACGTGGAGAGCCCGAGGAGAATGGAGAAGACGAGGACGCGTATGTAGGAACCTGAATGGATATCGGGATGGGGTGTGGGTGAGGCTACAACAAAACAAAACACGATGAATGTCCCGATGTGCAAGCTGCAAGCACAACAATGTCAGGAAGATCGATGGTTAGTCTTTGTCGAAGTGGCGATCACCCGCGAATTACCTGGATAGATGGATTCGATAACGCCCCCGTCCCCGATAAATTTGCCACGGCGACGTTTAATATTCCGAATACCGGTTCTTCCGCCACCGGAAGCGCCCCCGCGCGTTTCGCCGCTCTATCCAGATGATTCGATGGTATTATTATTGGACGAGAGATTAGTAGAGTTATGAAAGATCGGCGAAACGACTGTACACCGGCCAATAATTGTTTTCTTCCTTATACGGTTAGCGAAGATCGTTAAGCGTTAGCATACAAGTGAGACTGTTAATCGTTAATTTACCTTGACAGTGCCGCTAGATGCGCTAGAAGCGGGCGAGCGTCACGTCCTCGGCGAACGAAGAGAATTTATCCATATCTTGAGTTAGCGAGCGGGAAAGAAACACGATTCTCCATTAATTTCTCTCGTGTAAATGGTTAACGGGCGAGACTTCGCCGATTCGTCGTTCCTTCGATTCAGAATCATGCCCGACCGTCGGGAAGGGGAAATTATCGATCGTACGAAATTCAATTTATTTAAAATAAGGATTGTGAATCGAACGAAGGAATTGGAGAAGCCGGTATATAACGTGTGTGTGTGTGTGTGTGTGTGCGTGTGTGTGCGCGTGTGTATATGTGTGCGTGTGCGCGCGAGGGATTCGTGTGGGGAATTCGAGTGCATTTTTGAAAGCGGGAGTGGTCCGGCCTCGTACTACACCGGCGGTCGTCTTACGGGCTCTTCACAGGGCTTTCGGTCGACCCCTCGAGATGAGCGAGCACGAGAGGAGCTAGCACACGGGGTCGAGAAACGGTCATAGTTCTATTTCCGTCTCTCGTGAATCATTCTCGCTTCACCTATCTCTCTTAATGCCGCTTATAACGCCGCTCCGATGAAAGTCCGCCGCTGATAAACCTTTCTCGAGCATGATTTCCGAGGAGGCGAGGCCGCTTTCGAGGAGAAGCCGCGTTTTTCGCGAGGAGAGGAAAAACGCGTGGCTTTTCTTTTCCTTCCTTCTTTCTTTCTTTCTTTTTTTTCTCGACGCGTGGAAGAAGCGCGATATTTCGAGAGATTTTCGATCCCGTATTCGGGAAGCGACACCCTCTGCCCCCTGTCCCTCCCCCTGGTCAGTAGTCGTAACGACGGGAATTTGACCAACGAGAATTGCTGGTAAACGCCCCATTGCCAGACTCATAAAGCAATAAATTTCTTCACGGTAAAGTTGCTACAACTCTCGGGAATCGCTTTAACGACGCGTACCGATGTCAAAGTCCGCGTTAAAACTTAACAGCTTCGAGCTTCGGTCCGATCGACAAAGTGCACAACGGCCCCACGTTGCATCCAACGTCGATCCAACGTGTGGATCTCTCTTCTTCCTCTCCTCCCCCCCCCCCCTCCCCCTCCCTCGGTAAACGCCGCTACTCGGCGAAAAGTAATTTCAATCCCGCAAATCCCGATGCAACAATCAATTAGCCGCGTGCTCGTTGAAAATCAAGCGGTACCAGGCAGGCGCGCAACGCCGGGTATTCGAGCGCGCGGCTCAGGCCACGATTTCGATTAACGCAAAAATTACACGGGTCTCGGTTACGCGGTGAATCGCGCGGCTGGCTTGGAATCCCCCACCCCTCCCCCCTCCCAACCCGTCCCAAGATCGAGATCTCTTTGGGTTCGTAGGGACTGTCTGTCGTTCTGCGATCGGAACGGGTGTGTATCGGATCGGATCGGTATCCGTGTGGCATCCGTGGCGCATAACGGAACGATGGCAGCCTCGCCACGGCTAATGCGTATCAGACTACATTTCACGGTTGATCGAGGCCCAGCCTGGCGCCATAGACAATTTCCCAAAGGGTTCCAGACCGGTATAATGGGGTGGCCAAGGCATATACCGTAACTCTATCGCGTTACCGTTGACCCGAGTAACCGGCAAGCCTGCTACCGCTACCACCACCACGAGGTTCTCCCGGGGTGAATTCGTCAATGGCTCGATCAAGGCCGGCTGCAAGGATCAATTTTCAAATTGTATTTCGCGGCACGTACGCGCCCCCTCCTCCCTTTTCGCCCTCCTTCGATCCCCCTCTTTTTCTTTCGCTTCTTCCTCTCGATACGAGCGCCACGTCTCGATACTCTCCTCTCCAGAGACGGATATCGAGTCTCGTCGTGGATGGAACGAACGAGTGCATAGGACGCGACGGGTAGACGACGCGGTCGGACGTCCAGCCGCGTCTGGACGAGGCCGCCGAATGTTCTGTGCAGTCGTTACAGTTTAATGGGTCGGGCAACGTCGTAACACGAGATGGCTCGTTCGCCCTTGTAAACATTCGCGTATCACGCGCTGAACTGCGACGGCCGAGAAAATCGTGGGGCCGCGTATCTATGAATTCTCCCGTAAGCCACAACCTCCTTATACCAACCCATTCCCCCCCGGGGGACATATGTCCTTATACCGGCTCCGTGAGCTTTAATGAAAGCCATAAAGCGCTCTCCGGATCGTGGTTGCGGCGCTATACCCGGTTACTATATACCGGGATGGAATGTGTGGTTCGTGGCTACGAGCACCGAAGGTCGTACCATCGACCCTCGCTCAGAGGGTCGCCGATTAACAATCCGAGGCGACGAGCCGGGGATGACGCTACCTATACCCGTGACCGTGAATCGTCCTCACCCTCGCTCTTCCCTCGCTTCTTCGTTACAGTTGGTAGTACAGCTTCGCGGCCCGCTAAGCTCGCATCCTCTCGATTAACGGGAATGGTATCGTCCCCCCCCCTCCTCCCCCCCCTCTTTCTCGATCGAAGGTATCCGCGGGTTACCTGGCCGAGGTCGCGCGAGGTCGAGGGCGCGTTTAGTCGAATCTCGTTGGCCGGCGAGCGCATTGCGGGTGACAGTTTTTCGAATTTCAAAAGCCGCTGGCACGACGGGGGTAAATCGAAAACGAGCCGTGAAAACTGGAAAAATGTCGCGTTTAAATCTTTCGATTTACGGCGAGTCGTTCAACGTTTTTTTTTTCTTTTTTTTTTCCTCCTTTCTTTTTTCCTTTTTATTTTATTTTATTTTTTTTTATTCTATCTTTTTCTTTCTTTTTTTCGATTCGATGAATACGACGCGCTCGCAGGATGGAATTTTCGTAACGAATTTTTTTGAACGGGAAGGATCGATCGAGGACGAAAACGAAGAATGGAAATCGGGTTGGATAAGAATTCTCGTCGCGTTTTTTTCCCAACGGCAAGTTGAAAACGTCGCGATGAATGAAATTCCTCCCCTCTCTCTCTCTCTCTGTCTCTCAATCGGGCACGAGAATACTTTTACGGGCAATCGAGCACCGTCCTCGAACACGCGTATTAATTTCGATTTAATCGTTACGTTTGATCACAGCCGGTAATGCGCGCCACGTCCCGCTTCGCCGCAATCACCATTGTTCCATCGTTCACGCTGTCGATACATATCCCCCTCTTCATACATTTTAATTTACTGACCTTTCATCGTACGCGCACTTTAATTCGTTTCTTTTGTTTCGCGTCCGGATCCATCATCCTTCCCCCACCCTTTTATATCTGCGCGTGCATTGTTGTTAACCGCCCCCTTCGACGGTTTTGTGCTAAGTGAAGTGCACCGGGAACAATTTATTCGAATTCCCGCTACCGCAACGCGATACGTCTCTGTACCTGCACCTCTGTATTTACGTTCGCCATTACGACATTGGGTCGTTGGGATTTTTCACGGCGCGCATTAATGCCCGACTCATTAAGGCCGTGCGAATCGTTTAACGTTTAATCCGTGGAGTTGTTTAGCTGTTCGTGAGAACGGTTTCGTGTTTCGACTCGGCGAGTCGCCGTTAATTCTTTCGTTCTAATTCGAATTACGTCTCTCTCTCTCTCTTTCTCTCTTCGCTTAAATTGCGACCATTTCTGGGATCGAACGCGAGGGGAACAATTATATACCGCTCGACGATCAATATAAAATATATTCTTCTTCGGCTGAACATCGAATAGATATCGAGAGGGACGAAGAAAAATCGCGGATGAAAACAATTCGTTGCGCCATATTCGTCTCCTCGCCGGGATCGAACGTTGGAAGAATCGAATCGAATCGAGGCGGTTCACGGCTTGGAAATATCGAGACCGGGATGGAACGAATCACTCTGGAGAGATACATCTTTATTCCGACGTCGATAAATCGCCGAGTCAACGATAAACGCTTGCTTCGATTCCTCGCGTTGGAGGGAATTATCGTCGAAAGGAATAATCCTCTCTCTCTCTCTCTCGTCGTCTACTACC